CCAGCTCCCCTGGAGTAACTGCTTGTCTTCTGGAATCTTCTCCATGCTCTTGAGCTTGTGCTGGGAGACAACAAACCTTCTGGTAATGGCACGTACTGATGTGCCATCCTGGAGGAGTTGGACTGCCCGGGCAAACTCTGTAGGGTTCAGGTAGTGCCTCATGCTAGTGTCACCGAGCTTTTTGGGTCCGTATTATGAAGCTCATATGCAATAACGGGACAGAAGACGGGCCGAAGTTTTTGGCGGTAACCCCGCTTCCATTTTTTTTTTCTTCTTCTCATATAACACATAACCAAAACTCACACCCAGTGAACTTTCGCTTTCCGGCAACAGGGATGGACACAACTTTAATATACAGACACAGAACAGGCTTTTACACACAGCCCCCCCTCAACAAGAAACGTCCCCGTTTCACCTGAAAAGCACCTGAAGTGTAACCCTTACAGAGAGGGGTAACAAAATAACAAAAAAAAACAAACAACAAAACCAACAAACAAAAAAAAATTCAACCTTATCAAACAGTCAGGTACAACTTGTAATTACAAACATGGAAGAAACAGAGCAGAACAGAAGCATGAAACAGACCGCTTAATTTTCTCAAGTAACTCCTCACACCAAGTGGAACTTATGTAAAAAAAAAACAAAACAAAAAAACACTAGAACTTTAAAACCTAAGAAAGTCCTGCAAAAGGGACGGAGGTCTCACCAATCGCCCCCTGCGAGACCGCCCAAACTGGAACTCAGGCAAGTCCCCACACAGTCCATTGTCCACCTCACCAGTCGGAGACTGATCTCCGTACTGGGGAAGCGAAGCCTCGACCCCAAGAGGAGACATCACAGCAGCCGGAGTCGGAACAGCCTGTGCAGGCAATGGCAGAGTGTATGGCTTCAGTCTGTCATGATGAACCAACTGAGCTCGCTCCATCGGATCGAGGGCGTTGACGATGCGATACGTAAGTGCAGCCTCTCCACCCGAAACCAACGCTTGCACGACCCGATATGGACCCTTCCAGTGCGGCGCCAGCTTCATACGGCTCTCCATGGGATTATTGATCCACACCAGCGCACCTACCACATAGGTAGCTGGCAGCTACCCTGGTAATAGTACAGTTTCTGTCTTTCCTGAGCTTCAGCCGAGTTAAGCCTGGCAGTGCTGAATGTTGACCCCAGTCGCTCCGCAATTACGGAGGCATAATCCATCAGAGATTCAGTACCCCAGGAGTCGGGAGCATTAGCGAGCACTAGCACATCCGCAGGAACTCGGGCCTCACGTCCATGCATGAGAAAAAACGGGGTAAACTGAGTACTTGCATGCTTAGAGGTATTGTATGCGAAAATAACATGCTTCACATATGTGTCCCACTCACGCCATGAGAAAGTAACAGCTTGGCCAGCTGATCGATCAAAGTCCGGTTGTGATGCTCCACTATGCCGTCCAATTTGGTGTTATATGCAATGGTACGGGTTTCTTAAATCCCAGCAGCTGGCAGGTGATCTGGATCACTTCCGCCTCAAACTGACAGCCCTGATCACTATGCAGGATTTCAGGGACCCCATGCACCAATACACAATCCTCAAACAGGCAGCGTGCATCCAAAGGCGCTGTCTGGTTAGGCAACGCATATAGGGAAACAAACTTAGTAAAGTAGTCCTCTACCACAAAAATATACCTGTTCCCCCGGAATGTTATGGGCAGCTCCAAGATATCTGTGGCCACCCGCTGCAAAGGACGGCATACTTGGGCCCCTCCCATAGGGGCCTTGGACCCTGGGACCAGGCTCCTGCAAGTCTGACAGGCCAAGCCTTGTTCACACCAATGCCTTATGTCCCTCAACATTAAGGGCCAGTAGCAGGACTCTCTGGCCTTTTCCCACACACGTTCTGCTGAGAAGTGTGCAGCAGCTGGTCCCCCATGCAACTGTTGAAGGTGTTCCGGCACCAGGGACGCAGGGACAACAGTCTGAATCTGCTTCTGTCCTGTGTTGTCAGTGAACGCTGTGCGGCAAAGCAGCCCGTCAACCACAGACAGATGGTGAAACTCAGTCCACAGTTTCCTCAAGCTGGCAGAGGAATCCCAGGGCAGTTTACGAGGCCGTCGCACCTTGCCTTGCTCCAGCCATGTCAGAACAGTACTGATGTCAGGGTCCTCACGCTGCAGCGCCTGCAATTCAGCTCCCCCATCACCGAGGGTATAGACCAGAACTGACTCTGCTTCCACATTCCCAGCTGTAGAGTGGTCAGGTGTCTCCACGGAGGCCACAGTAACAGGTCCAGTTGCAGGAACATTTGCCTGGACAGGGTCAGGGGACACGGGCCGGCGGGACAGAGCATCAGCATTCTGATGGCGTGCGCCATTCCTGTGCACCATGACACAATCAAATGGATCCAGCTCCAGCACCCACCAACTCCTACGTCCAGTCGGATCATTATCAATAGCCATGCGCCTAAGGCTCAGCAGAGGGCGATGGTCCATGATAATGGAGAATGCAGACAGCCCCACATAGTGTTTGAACTCATGCACAGCCCACACCACTCTCTATCGAAGGTGGACCATCTCTTCTGTGTGTGGGTGAGAGCCTGGCTGGCATAGGTGACCACCTTCTCAAAGCCATCTTCATCCTGCGCCAGGACTGCCCCAACAGTCTTTAGATGCGTTGGTGTACACCTTGAAAGGGAGTGCAAAGTTGGGCAGCGTCACCACCAGAGAGGAGGTGAGCACTTGCTTGAGGTAGATGAACGCAGCCTCACACTCAGCCGCGAGAAATTACACACAAATCTCCGATAATAGGAGCATAGGCCCATGAAGGCCCAGACCTCCGACGGGGTTCGGGGAGTTGGCCACATCCTCACCTTGTCCGTCTTCCGTGGGTCGGGCTGGAGACCATCTCTGGAGACCACGTGGCCCAGGAAAACGACATGGTCCCTGGCAAAGCAGCATTTTTGTGGATTCAGCCTCAGACCTGTTCGCTGGATCCTGGATAGGACTTTATCCAAATGAAGGAGATGGTCAGTGAATGTGTGTTTATAAATCAGTATATCATCCAAATACACCATACAAATTTGCCACGGCAGGCCCCTGAGAATGAGCTCCATCATGCGTTGGAAAGTGGCTGGCGAATTAGACAGGCCCATAGGCATGGCCCCTGATTGATACAGGCCCCGTCCGGAACGTGACGTTCAATCTCCGTCCGATTCTCGGGTGATGCACGGCAAGCACGCTGCTTCACAGGGGGCGAGTCCCCCGTTCTGATGCAGTGTTTGATCAGCGCGCACTTCCCTGCGTTCCAGCCATCCAAAATGAACACCTCAGTGAACCTCTGAAGCAGGTCAGCCAACCTGGCCCTTTGCTTAGCCGTAACAGGAGACTCCTCCAGGGAGACAGGGCTCGCTGCAGCTGGCGGCACAGCTGGATGGTCGTCCGCAACATGAGGTTGCCCGCAGATATCTTCCTCTATTACAGGGTAGAACTCCCCCAAATCTAGCCCCCATTTGAGTTCAAGTGCGTCCCCTGTGGAATTGAGAATGCGGGCTGAGGTCACACTCACACTGTTCACTGTATGAGCGACCACCAGTCCTGTTGTATCCGGAATGTTAGGCTCAAGGTATCCCACAAAGTCAGCAGCAGGCCAACCAGTCCCAGCAGGCGTGAGAATATTCACCGGGACCAGAGCCTCACTCAGTGGGGGAATGGTCAGAACATCAGCAACGGACACGTTACAACAGCTAGGGACTAACTCATCACCCTGAAGCAGCGGTACAGAAACGTCCCATAGTTGTACAGTAACACACCTCGCCCCAAGTCCAACAATGCACAGTTCGGAGCCAGGAAGTCCAGTCCGAGCAGTAAACTCTGGGTGGATTGCCGTAGTACGTGGAAGGTGTGCTGCCAGTAGGTTGGGCCCAGCCGGAAGGTGATCTCACAGGTACCGAGTGTATCCGACATATGTCCATTAATTGCCCGAGAATCAATATAGTTCTTTTTCTTGGGCCTGTTTCGCAGGGCAGGGACTGAGATACGGAAGACCTCACTGATCAAGGAAACTGACGCCCCCGAGTCCACTAACATTGGGACCTCGGTGCCTTCGACCACACCCCTGATGAAGGAAGTTGGGTTGTCAGTACAGTCCATAAGGGCTATTGCATTGGAGAAGTCATGGTTTAAGGGGCCCCCTATAGGAGAGGCTGGCATTTGGGCCTCAATACCAGCTAATTGTCGTTTCCCTGACTGTCGTTAACTGTGTCCCGCTGTCGAGGCAGGAAGTGCACGCCACGCCGTCTCATCTCAACCTCCTGTCGGGCATGCCAGCTCGGGCTAGGACTCCTGCCTCCCGTCGGCCTAGGGGTGGAGAACATCCCTGGGCCGCGAGGCTGAAAACCCCTTTGGTGTGGGAGCTGCCCAGATTCAGGGGAGCGACCACGTTGCTCCTCCCTAGAGCTCCTGGACCGGCAGCCCCATTCACCACAGGTGCAGTGACAGCATTCCCCCCGAGGGCAAGCGAATGCTTCGTCCCCTCATGTCAGTATTCCAAGCCCTCAGCCTCTGATTGTCCTCATAAAGTTCTCTCATTTTCACTCTCATGGAGTACATGTCCTCTGTTAGCTTCTTAACAGCTTTCTGGAGACCCCCAGGAACTGACACAGACTGGATAGATGGACTTGCACCACTGTAGCGAGCAGCACTCACATGATCTCTCTGTAGGGCAGCTCTAGCGTTTTCACAGTGCTCAGCCACGTGCAGCACCTCCTCCAGGTCCGTGGCACCCATCTCCAGACACTTGGCCTTTGACGCCGGATCCAGACCAGCCAGAAAGCGTCGAAACTTCTCCTCCCTCTGTGCAACCTCATTATAATCCGGAAAGGCCTCAACGACCAGCCGGCTCACGTCAGCAGCATACACCTCCAGACTTTCACCAGGAGCATGCGCCCGGGCCGTGAGGCTGGCTCTGGAGTGGTCCATCAACTGCCTTTGTCCAAAAGCTGCCGCAAGTTTCTCCCTTATCATGGTATATTCTAACTTGATCGCTTCGGAGAGGCTGTCCCACAGCAGAAACGCGGACTTGCCGAGACGAGTAGGCAGAATCCTCACCAGCTCGTCCTCACAGTTGCTGCCCCCCTGGCTGTGGCACCAACGGCTACCTCTAGCTGCCTCGCCCAGCTGAGGAAACTCTGGCTCCCGTCCCCAGTGAAATGAGGGGGAAGGTCAATCTTAACATCACCGCCTGGTGAGTATCTGCCAAGCCGGCTCGAACCGGGTTTAAAAGGGTCCTCATCTGCAAACCACATGTCAATTTAGTGCTGTTTTCTCCCGCACCGCACAAGGTTAGCTAGCCGGCTATATCGGAGATGCTATGCTAACCGACTGACACTTAGCCATCACTGGCTAAATACACTAAGAAACATTTTTTAAAACAACGGGGGTTTAATAGAGGAATCCCACCGCTGCCACCAATGTAACCGAGCGTTTTGGTCCGTATTATGAAGCTTCCGTTTCCGTTCCCGCTTCCGTTTTTTTTTTCTTCTCCTTTCAACACATAACCAAAACTCACACGCTCACCCTGCCGTACACCCAGTGAACGTTCGCTTTCCGGCAACAGGGATGGACACAACTTTAATATACAGACACAGAACAGTCTGTTACACTAACAGCAGTGACAGTGACCCTAGCCAAATGCTGGTGAAAGAGTCAGAAAAGGTGAGGAGGGGAAAAAATGTCAGTGGCCTCCACCTGTAAAACCATTCCTGTTTTGATGTTGATGTTGTTTCGTTGTTGCCCCTCTAGTGCACCTGTTGTTAATTTAGTAACACCAAGCAGCTGAAACTGATTAACAACCCCCTCTGCTACTTACCTGACCAAATCAATATCCCAGAAGTTTAATTAACTTGATGCTATACTCTGATTACAAAGTGATCCTTTAATTTTTTTTGAGTAGTGTATATATAGATTTTAAAAGTGTTATCAGTGTCAGTTTTACTTAATAGTATGTGGCTACACCTAATATGAATTATTAAAACAACACTTCTACCAACTGACTCTCATACAACAGTGCATTTCCACCGACAGAATGTATAATTTCTCTTCTTGGGCACTCATCCAAAGTGCCCCTGAAGTGTAGCGAAATAACCAGTTGTATAATGTTGCTAGGGAAAATTGATAAATATTTGGCAAATCAGCATGGCAAAAATGTATGGCTTTGGGGCTCCTGGAATTTTGCATAGTTTGCATAGTTGCTCTTAAATAAACACATTCTCAGATAATAAATAGTTTTTATACATGAAAAAATATTAAGTTGATTAAGAGCTTCTACGTTATTAAACAGGTACATTATTTCTTTAAGGTGTGTGACACCATATTGGACCATACAAAACACAGATTTATCTTCACAAAGCCTCAGAAGGGCAAAATTTATGTGCAAATAGAAAACCTGTACATAAAATTCTGTTTTGTTTTGTTTTATAGTGTTTTTAAATTGTTTTTTTTGTTGTTGCTGGTATTCATATAAATATACCATTGCGATAACTTAGTATACGTTTGATTGTTTTTTGGTATATATCTATTTTGAATTTATAGCCCCCTATGGAGACATCTGCACCAGCCGCCACTAGTGGCCAGAGTTATCCCTCAGTGTTTACAAAAAACTAATGTGATGTCAATGCATAGATACCTATCATGGCTAACAGTTACAAATGAAATCAAATTGAGGTTTCATTTATTTTTATGTAATGCTCTCTATATGAAATTGCCCTCATTCTTTGATGAATGATTAGTCCTTGTAGAAAACTGCCAAAGTTATTCAACAGGGTGCCCATTAGATGTGGATTTTACACCCCCAGCTGTTATTCACATTAAAATCCATCATATTTGCTGAATTTAACCTTAAGCTTAATTTTTAGCTTTAGATACAGATAATGCAACTTTGATTATTTTCTGATACAAATATTAATAGCATAATAAATCATGTACTGTTTGATTAATTTACCAGTCATTCTATATTGTGTAATGTTAGAAAAGGCTTGATGAAGTGTTATTGTTCAAACAGACTACAACAGGCAACAACTCAACAACTGTCACATTTGTTATTAGCCAATAAGTTACTTAAACTTTAAATATAAAATATGAAATTAATTTAGTAATTATAATCTGACCGTGACTGAGTGGATGTGCTCTCTTCGTCCTCTGGCATGGGAGCTGGCTCGGAGCTCGTCTGCCTGGCTGTGTGTTTCCTGGACGGACTTTTACAGCTGCTTTTTGTGTCTCTGCTTCTGTCTCCTTGAACCCCAGTCGGCCTCGGCAGATGGTCGCTCACACTGAGCCTGGTTCTGCTGGAGGTTTCTTCCTGTTAAAAGGGAGTTTTTCCTCTCCACTGTCGCTACAAGCATGCTTAGTGTAAGGGATTGCATCCAAGTCAATGAGTCAATGCAATCAACTGGTTTTCCTTAGATAGAAAACTTTGAATCAAATT